GATGGTGATGATGATGACGAGGACGATGATGATAATAATGATAATGATAATGCGAGAGAGAGAGAGAGTGGAGAGAGGAAAAAGAAGAGAGAGAGAGAGAGAGAGAGAGAGAGAGAGAAGAGGAGATGATGATGAAGACGACGACGGTGAAGATAATAATGATAATGATGATGATGACGACGATGATGATAATGATAAGGATGATGATGATGATGGTGAGGATGAGGATAACAATAACAACAATATCAATGATAACAACAACAATGATAGCAACAATAATGACAACTGCAGTGAAAATAACAACAATGACAATGACCTTGCAACAGTAACAACAATAGCCTCATGATAACAACAACCACAAACGATAAACTTCACCTCAGCAGCCAAATCGAACAAACAAAATACAAAAACACAAATAGTTTGTTTTTAAGTCGAAAAAATACACATTTCAAAACAGATATTGGACTTACGTGAAACTTCCACCCCCCCCCCCCAAAAAAAAAAAAAAAAATGTAAAGAGTTTCAGTCTCCTTGCGGGAATACTGATGTAAAAAAAAGAGGAAAACAGGAAAAAATAAAAAGAAAAGAAAAAAAGAGATGAAAAGATGTTGTTAAGAAAGTTTTGAAGCCTTTTGTGGTTTCAGAAGTAACGATATTAATGAAAGGTGAAGGGATGGGAGGGGTGGGAACAGAGAGGAGGTAGGGAGGGGGGGTAAGGAGCTAGGAAAGATTGGAAAGGGAGAGAAAGAACTGGGGAGCATACAGTACAGACACACACACACACACAAACAAGTGAGAGAAGAAGGAAAAAGAGAGAGACAGAGAAAGAGAGACAGAGAGAGAGATAGAGAGAGAGGGAGAGAGAGAAGAGAGGAGAGAGAGAGAGGTGGGGGAGGGAGGGAGGGAGGGGGTGAAGGGAGGGAGAGGAGAGAGGAGAGAGGAAAGAAAGAGAGAGAGAGAGAGAGAGAGAGAGAGAGAGAGAGGAGAGGGGAGAGAGAGAGTGGAGTGAAAGAGAGAGAGAGCGAGAGAGAGAGAGAGAGAGAGAGAGAGAGAGAGAGAGAGAGAGAGAGAGAGAGAGAGAGAGAGAGAGAGAGAGAGAGAGAGAGAGAGAGAATAACAATAACAAAAACACGGAATGAAAAAACAGAAACATAATTAACTCATTGCCGGCGGGGAAAATGAATAAAAAATGCTGTGCTCATTTTTCATATTTTTGTGAAATGTCTCTGCACATACATGGCTCTGCTAGTGTTTAGCCACAAAGGAGTCAATTAGTAGACCTTGTGACATTAGACATCACCTGATTTCACCTTTCCTTGAATTGGCGGGAGAAACGTATTTTTTACTAGTGCTATGAATATGGTGCTATTTTTATTATAAACATTATAATTACTAAAATGTCATAAACATTAGTAACAGCCAAATAAGATAACGTAAACTATTTTCGTAAATCAAGGAAAAGGGTGAACGGGCGAGACAGACAGTACTCGTAATTGGCTGATTTAACACAAGTGAAGCCATTTATGTGGAAAAACAATTAAACAAGTAAACTCACAGTGGGCATAGCATGTACGTACATGTCATGCCCGTCGGCAATGGGTTACAATAAAAAACAACAAAAAAATAACCTTAACAAATGAGCCCAAAAGGAGGCAGACTATATTGACCTAACAAAGAAAACAAAGACAACAGCAACAGATTAATGAGGCCAGCAAAGACAGCAGCAGAATAAAGACGAGATAAACAATATTAAAAAATACAACAAAGGAACAAGATCAACAGAGGAAGCGACATTACAAATCTAACAAAGACAACAATAACAAAAACAAGAACAAGAAACCTACAAACCACACACCCCTTCTCCCCTCACCTCCCCCTCCCCCCTCAACCCCTCCCCCCTTCACCCCTTCACCCTCTCACCCCCCCCTTTCCCCTTCACCCCCTCCCACCCCTCATCACCCCCCTTACTCACCTGGCCGTACTTATCGAAGCCGTCGCTCCTTCCCGTCTCTGCGAACGTCTTGACCTCCGGGCTGGCAGACTCCCCGGCGCGGAACAGCACGAAGTCCCGGCTGTGGCTGATGCCTGTAGGGGGGGGAGGGGGGAGAGAAGGTGGGGTTAGTTATGATTCGGATTATTAATATGTATGTGTGTTTTGTAGGCATTATGTATGTGTATATGTATGTGTGTGTGTGTGTGTGTGTGTGTGTGTGTGTGTGTGTGTGTGTGTGTGTGTGTGTGTGTGTGTGTGTGTGTGTGTGCGTGCGTGTAACAATAATAATAATGATACTATGATAGTAATAATGCCAATAATGCCAATAATAATCGTGATAATTACAATATCAATAGTAATAACGAGAGAAATAATAGTGGATTAAATGCTACACACACATATATGCATACATACATACCTAAACACACAAAAAAACATATATTTCTACGAATCTCCTCACAAGTAATCAAACAACACCCCAAAAAATAGTCAACCAAAAGAAAATAA